GAAAGACACTATGGTGGCGTTTCATTGGTGCATAATGCGCCCTACTAGGATTCCAGATCTTCGTGAGTCCACAGCATTCACTAGAAAGACTTATTACGAAGATTCGCTGTTAGTAGATTTAGATGCGTTGCAAAAGTTCACATTCCATGGAAGGTTCTTGAAATGTAATTCCCTGTTCCAGGATCCAACTATTGTCAAACAGTTGGTCCTTCGCATCTTGATCTGGTATTTCAGGGGAACTGTTTCAGCGGGGGACAGATGCGACTATTTCCACTAGTGGTGTTTTTGAGTTGTATTCCTCAGAAGCGGGTAGAATTGTTTACACTACCGAAAAATGCGAGTGGGCAAACTATGTGGACTTCAGCCATCTACTCCGCACTTCCGTTCTTTAATTGTTTAATCACCTTGGCGAGATCCCGCTTCTAAGTCAGATCCCATCCTCTACGTGGAGCCAGTCCCTGCTAGAAAGCCAAGAGACACTGTGCTACAGTTTTACCCTTACTGGAAATGCGTACCCACAAAATCCAAAAAAAAGCTTCGCTGAAGTGTGCAAACAACCTCCTGGGAGGTCGCAGTTTCGAGACCTCCTGGTGGAGTTCCGTGACATATTCGCCGCTGACGATTCCCGATAAGGGTGAAACAGTTGTGTAGTGCTTTTTGGCTTTTCAACGTAGATCGGCACCACTGATAGAATGAAATCCCAACTTCTAGTTCCCGAATCTACTCACACTGTCAACAAAATTCAATTTACGATATTCTTTAACGCTACTCAATCTTAAAGGTGACTTTATTCGGAGGTTCATGTGCTGAGTGGTGGTTAACTGGTGGCAATAAGCCTCCCATTTGCTTCATAGACGAGAAAAACAATTCGGCCTAGAGTGTTTTCTGAGTCCTTCATATGAGATGAAACTACTGGCTGAATTCCCAAACGTTAGGTATGGATTTCGTGTGTGGATGATGAAACATTTCGCCAGACGGATGGGTAGGGCGTGCTTCTGCTGCTGTTTTTTAATCATACACAAGTGTCCGCGGATGCCCGGTCCTTTTGATATCATTATCTGATTGGGTACGGATTGTTTTATCAAAGCTAAATCGGTCTGTTTTTCGATTGGTTAGCTTCGTTAAAGTTTGATCCATTGATGACGGCTTCTGATAGCGTCCCCTGTTTGGTGAGATGCTTACCCACTTTAGTGGATATGAGTGTGGGTCTTATCTTGGACTTGGCACGCACATGCTTGTGAGTTGTACTCCTGGGGCTTCGAATCCACTCGCCTCTGTATGATTTTCAACCTTTTCTGATGAAAAACATAGTCAATGCACCAGGATGTAACCCACTAATAATGACTGTGTGACTGTGTTTTGAGTACATCGTCAATAAGTGTTTTGGGTTTAGAGGGTATATACATTCCTGACAGTTGTACGGACGGTGTCCAATAGTCTGTCGAGTTTCACACACTGCTTGAAGAGATTGGCGTCTGGGCCGTTAATGAGTTATTGGCATAACTAATCGGTGTCTACTGTAGGACAGTCAATGAACTCCAGATAGCCTAGTGGTTAGGGTGTCAGTTTGTTAGTCGGATGGTCCGCGGTTCGTACTCAACCCCGGCGTCTAGATTCCTCCTGTCTAGGCTTGAACAACTTGATGGTATCTAAGCCCTCATGCTTACTTCGAATGGCATGACAGTTAGATATCGAAAGGGTGTTACAGCTTGTAAGTACACCAGGCAGCACACGTCTAATTTATTCGTAAAATGGCACCTAATATCAGTGATGGGCCACCTCTCTTTAGAAATGTTTTCTGTCTAAGTAATATCCATTGAGTCCGTGAGCGCTGATACTGTGGTCGGTAGATTCAAACCGTTTTCAGTATGAAACCGACTCATATGCAAGACGGTAAACCATGTTTAGCTCATAAAGAAACGTAGTTTATCCAAAAGAGCTTTTAGTGACCGCCTTGTGTCTTGCTGGAATATGAAGGTCCGCTTTTTTCAGTTCGAATAGAACGTGCGCCTGCAATTTCCGAAAGTTTTGCCAGCCTTCCACTTGTCACTTGTCAGCCTGGCACAACGACCAATCCGTTCTGGTTGCGGGTGATGCGTTGTTATCTAGGTTAAAATCTGAGGGACCTTTAAATGTGTCCGAGTTAAGATTGACTGTGATCTGAATGAATACCACTCAGCGTACACTGCGTGGATCAGGATCACTACAAAATCATAAATGCAAGTGAAAAGTATGTCAGTATTTTACGTCAGTTATAGGTTGAACTAACTGATGCTCTGCCGAACATCTTGTTCCATAGGTAAAGACAGTGGCCACAACTGGACGTTTCATCCTCCAGTCGAAGTCGGTCTATGCTGAAAAGCTGTTTCCTGATTACTGCACATTATCAGCAGTGCGAATCTCACCCAATTCCAAAGTGTTTTGAACCCATGAACTCCTAGCTGGTCGCTACAAGTGGCTACAAGTGGCAAATCAGCAGTGGTAATAAAGGGGACTTAGACAATATGGAACAGCCCCCATCGTTCAGATTCACTTATCCCTATTCAAACGCCAGATATTCTTGCTTAATCCAGTTGTTGTAAATATCAGTTCAGTGACTGCTGAGTAGGAAACGTTTACCAGTGTGTGGCACAGCATCCAACCGTCACCATACGTGTTTGACTGTCATGAGAGTGAGCACTGACTGACTGTCTCCTATGCTGACCGTCAAGCCCGCACTCTACTGCACAAAGCACATTTCGCACATCAGAACACACCAGCCTTATAACCACACTGATGTCTGTCCAGCGCCATCTATTCGCGTCACATGTAGACAATAAACTGAACTGTGCCGACTGGGAATTCTATCATAGTGGCTGCCGTAACGTCCAGTGCAAGAAACATTGCACAGTTTCTTCAGCCCCTACTGTGGGGGTTGTCGGAGTTCACCAGTTCGACAAACAATTCTCTCCAAGGAGGGGACGAATCGTCCAACTGTAGCACTTTTTCATGCGTAACTCACATTTCGCACATCAGAACACACCAGCCTTATAACCACACTGATGTCTGTCCAGCGCCATCTATTCGCGTCACATGTAGACAATAAACTGAACTGTGCCGACTGGGAATTCTATCATAGTGGCTGCCGTAACGTCCAGTGCAAGAAACATTGCACAGTTTCTTCAGCCCCTACTGTGGGGGTTGTCGGAGTTCACCAGTTCGACAAACAATTCTCTCCAAGGAGGGGACGAATCGTCCAACTGTAGCACTTTTTCGATGCGTAACTGCCATGCCACCCGGAAGAACCATGCGGGCTGGGATACTTCCAGGCTACCCAAGCCTACACAAGAGAAGTCAAGAGGCAAAAGTCTGGTTCGAACCACGAACCTTCTGGTCAGTAAATTCGCGCTCTAACCACTGAGCCGTCTCGCCCCCTTGGAGGGGAGGTTAATCAGAGCCCTTCCAAGACTAACCAACTGTGCCAAAGACTTATTGGAAAGCTAGAAAAACAGCAGTTAGGCGATTCTGGCGACGGGTCACACAACTGATGGCATTTTACTGATGATACGTTCGTAATGTGTGACAAGAATACTTCAGTGACTGAACCATCAAAGCGACGGTCTGTCCATAAGCAGACCAATCGGGCGCGTAATTTGCTAATTTCAGGCTCATAGTTCAAAAGTTGCTAATGCCCAATCATGTGACGCCAGTGCATTAGTAGCTTTCAGTTTGACCGCATTTCCTTGTTTTTTTTTCGTAATTCCGATTCTTCCTCACCACCCAAACACCGAACAAAAGACATCCATACACTAGTCTCATGTTACTTCATCACAATCGTACCAGGACAATACTGTTTTTTTTTTCACTGGAGAGAATGCTACGATTAACCGGAAGGACAGGCCTCAGAAACCGGCCTTGAAGTCTCAACAGATTTAAACCGCGCAATGATTACGAATCAGCCAATAAGGGAATTCTCCATTCAATCATCGTAGTCAATAGGTTCATCACTGGAAGTCTTTATATCTTACAATCGAGATGTGAGGTCTTCTCTATCGATATACCAGTTTAAAATTGTATGAGACTGTCGGAAAAGATCACGTGAATGAGTGTGATTACGTAAGCACTAGTGGTTCATTAGAGCCGCTTGAACTATTGATTGATTGCAAGATGATCATGCGCGGGAATGTCATACAGCTGTCTAGTCTGTAAACCATCCAGTCTCATGTTACTTCATCACAATCGTACCAGGACAATACTGTTTTTTTTTTCACTGGAGAAGAATGCTACCAGATTAACCGGAAGGACAGGCCTCAGAAACCGGCCTTGAAGTCTCAACAGATTTAAACCGCGCAATGATTACGAATCAGCCAATAAGGGAATTCTCCATTCAATCATCGTAGTCAATAGGTTCATCACTGGAAGTCTTTATATCTTACAATCGAGATGTGAGGTCTTCTCTATCGATATACCAGTTTAAAATTGTATGAGACTGTCGGAAAAGATCACGTGAATGAGTGTGATTACGTAAGCACTAGTGGTTCATTAGAACCGCTTGAACTGTTGATTGATTGCAAGATGATCATGCGCGGGAATGTCATACAGCTGTCTAGTCTGTAAACCATCCATGATCATTATAAACAAGAATGAGGTGTTTCGGGATTAATAGCCAGTGTTGAGAATTCGAAGCAGTTGTTTATTAAACGACTCGATAGCAAGGTTGCCTTGGACCAACGCCTAATTGGCAACAGTCCATTACGAGTAGTATGACGCACTGTAGCCCAAAAGATGGGAAGGATCAGGCGGACAATTCTACATAAATCGCAGTTTGGTAAACAGCGCGTCCAGGAGACAGGGTCGCCGGACAGGGTTTGCAGTTGTTGATGACGACGCATCAATAGTTGTTGCTTCTCGGGTGGGCGCTCCACTCACTTTTGGACCGATTTGTTGGTTGCTTTAGTGTAGGTCTAACTTGGTGTTATTTTGGCTCTTCAAAAAGCCTACTTTGAGTTCGCATCGAATAGTTACATGGAAAATCTTATTTCGACCTTTTGTGTTTCCCCATCTTCGTTTCAGACATATATCAAGTCAAATCTACCGTCCCGGATGAATCCTACTCTGTGCACTCCACAACAGGTATTCCCGCAGCCCATTCGCTGCCCGGACTCCCCCCTCTCCACATCGACCCGATGATCAATGTGGAATGTCGTCTTCCTGATGTACCAACAGAGGCACGACCGGAAGACCGATTTCGAGACTTCCTACTACTCCCCAGCGAACGATGTGTCACCACCACCTACGCACAATCAGCGGATTGTGCCCCTCAGCCCCTTCATGACTGGAGCTACCCTGACCAGTCACCACACGGAACACATCCAAAATCGAATAACCTTAATGGACTGTTGGTGGTTCATCTGGTTGCCGGAAACGGACTGAGTTCATCTCAGATTATGCTACGGGATCTGTACTGTGTGGTCGAAATGGACTCTATCCGAAAAGCTCGCTCAATGATTCGTACCAGTAGCAGTTTCTTTGAATGGAATGAAGTGTTTGAACTTGACATGGAGGAAAGTCGTTTCTTGGCATTCCTCCTCTATCAATGGGATCCCCGGACAAAACATCGATTGTGTTTCTACGGTGGAATTGATTTGCGAAATCTTATTGGTAGGCTGATCAGTTTGTCGAAAAAATCCACCTCATTTGGCACACCCGGACCAAACCAGACGGGACAGAAGCGATATCAACAAATTTTGCTTAGCCCTGCTCTAACACTACTCCCCTCAAACTTTGAAAAAATTGCCTTACAACTTGAACCGCGAGGTGTACTTTATTTGGAATTCGGTTACTATCCACTCGAACGGATCTATCATCGTTATCAACCCACGGTATCCACGAGTCTACATCATGCGTCCATATCGGACGACGTGCTGTTTGGTGTCACGATTGACGAGCTGATGGAACGTGAGCGTAATATAGTTCAGTTGACATCCGGTCTTGGACGCGCACCAACTGCGTCCAGATTTGTGAACGATTCTCTGTACATACCGCTGTTCATTCGTAAATGTGTTGAAGAGATCGATCGTCGTGGAACCGAAGTTGTCGGTATCTATCGTCTGGCCGGTTCGGTTTGGATGAAACTGCAAGTTCGTGAGCTCTTCAACCAGGTGACCAGAAGTACATTGCGTGCCGTATTTCAAGGAGACCGTAAAGCCCTTGAAGGCATTACTGGACTAATAGATTTGTCACCCGCTCGAGTACCGGATATTCATGCTATTACCGGTAAGTGAATATCCTTACCTCTGTTTTGTTACCCATTGATTACCCATAGCAGCATTGATGGCGCTGCGTGTGACATCAGTATTCATATAGGTCCGTTGAAAGGTGAGAAACCTTAAAGTGGAATAATAACTAGATGATAACTAGATGGTTTAAATTTGATAAACCGTCCGATTTTTCATGAATCAAGAGAATCTTGCTCAAAACCACGAGCAAAGATGGGCTGTTGTACGTTAACCCTCCGTGTTAGTCATAGACGTTAATTTTTCCAGTTTTTGTGGGCGACGGGAGCTGTGACAATGATGAAACATGAAGAAAAGTGGAGAGGAGTCACAGATAATCCGAATCAATGTGTGCGCTTTGTGAGCAGGCTTCGTTTATGAAGCCGACAGCTTGAGGCTTTGACTGTCCACAAGAACACTGGGAAAAGTGAAGTGAACAGCCTGTCTCAGAGATGTGTTGCACAATCAATAACTTCCCTCAATACCTGTCCCTGATAGCTGCCTGTTACCTGCAAGCTCATTAGAATTGTTTTGCAAACGGTGTAGAAATTCGCTGAGAAACCAATTGGTGTATCCTAATTAAATAAGTCTCATTGTGGTTGTAAATGACATTGGATCTAATTGTCTGTATTTGATGCTGTTTGAAATGTGATTTCCTTTGAACGATAGCAGCGGTAGGAATTTCTCCGGGGGCGTTGGCCTGCTGTTTAGCGCGGTTAACTTCTCGAGGTAGCTCCTGGAAGTGTGTATGAAGATAAAGTATAACCTATTTCCGAAAAAGGGTTCCGTGTTTAAAAAAATGGGCTCCATCGATCCAAATGTTACAAAAAACGAAAGGCATTGCCATCTAACACCCAATCCGGCTAATAGTCTTAAATTTTCGGTTCATTACCTGTTATAAATATGCAACAACGCCCTTTTATTTCCTTCCAATATATGGGTGTGATTCCCAACACACTGCAACTCGGCATTTGGGTGGTGGGCTAATGAAGGGTCATGGAATATGTACAAAGCACATCAAATAACTTCATCAAATAAAAAAATTTGGTCCGAATTCCTACCCATCTTCGAGAATCCGAAAAAAATTGCCCTCGACAAAGAACCCAACAGAACACTCAACGCTGATTGGTCAGTTGCCAATAGTGTGACATTTCGTACGCAACTGGTAAATGCATTGGATATCAGGGGCGAGATGGCTCAGTGGTTAGAGCGCGAACTTACCGACCGAAAGGTCCGTGGTTCGACTTTCCCTTCCAGGCTTGGGCAACCTGGTGGTATCCCAGCCCTCGTGCTTCCTTGGAATGGTATGGCAGCTAGGCTCCGAAAGAGTGCTACCGCTGAACAATTTTATGGGATCAGTCAGCTGACTGGCGACTTTTTGTTAAGTTCTGCAAAAGACACTAATTTGTTCGTGATACACTCTGACAACTGTAAAAAACGCGTGGGTATCCTAACTTAAAAGAACGGTCCACTTTGCAATTCAGTTGAATAATCTTGTGTAATTAACGAATATACACTCATCTGCAAACTAATTTGGTTCTTTTCGAGAGACCCACCTGGAACCCAGCTGAATCTCTCGTTTTTT